TACACCATGCATCTTGTTGGAGAGGGGGATAATAAAAGGGTAAAAGTAAAAGAAAACAAAACATTCCTACTATTAACAGACAGAAAAAGCACAACCAGCTCAGCTAGAACTCAAGAAGGCAAACAGCTGGGGACACATAAGTGTGGCAGGGCTTCTCTCACTAGTGCACTTCTAGACTCAGTGTGCGGAACAGAAGACAAGTTGCAGCCCAGGGCTTGAGGAAATGTGAGTGGAATAGGAACATAAGACTGGTACTTGAGCTGTCAGAAGCCCGATGAGGAAAGAACAAGAGAAAAATTAACCAAAAATATCTATACGTGCTAATTCCAAAGCTGAATACTAGATGGGTGCGAGAGCTGGAAACCACAACTGAGAAACTAAATGGCTGGCAGGTTTTCAGAAATCTAAGGGTGCTTAGGAGACAGAGATCAGAGTTCAGAGAAATAAAAACTAAGGAAATATGCTATTTCTTATGTAGAAGGAAACAATTCTTGATGAAGAATGGCAATGTAAGAAGGAGCAAACAGTAAGGGGTAAATACATGATTAAGTGTAGATGACATTACTTACTTAAACCAAGAAAATTGCAGGGCTCCATGTTCATGAATGTAATCCTAGCCATGCAGAAGCTAATGCAAGAGAATCCCAAGTTCAAGACTAGCTTGAGTAACTTAGCAAAACCTGTCTCAAGAAAAAAAGGAGTGCATGTCTGTTGGGGATGTAGCTCAGGGCCAGAGCACTACTGGAAACAATCCCCATTACAACAAGAATAGTAATTACTGACTTACATGTGACAAGGTCAGTCAAATCCCCTTGGGACTTACCCTGAAACCCTGTAGAGCAGTTTGTAGATCCTTTGTCAGTGTCAGTCATGTGGATGAGTCACGGCCATTGCTTGACCAATTTGCTCTCTGAGAAAGCCTGAGAGAATGTTTTCTCTCCACGTGACTCTCCTTAGGCACACTCTACATCATCGATCACATTGCTCTGTGGCCCCATAATCTCCTTGATCAGAAATTTGGGACACCACTGAGTTATAGGATATTGCAGTACAGGTTCTCCTACTCCTGAATCTTCACTGACCTTGAAAGGCTAGGGCCAAAATGTTGGCTGTCCTTATAGCCCTTTTCTCTAATTTTTAGTCTGCAAACTTAAGTTGTTAACCCTCCAGAAGAGAAGCTTAATGATATTATTACCCTATAACATACACAATTGAGCTTAACCTCACTATCTGTCTGAATATCAAACATCTTAGATATAACATGGAACAGGTATTTTCCATCAAGTATTGATATGTTAATAATGGTTAGAATAGATATATAGTTACATTCTCTTAATGGATAGAGGGATTTGTTCTAATAGTGTTTGTAAATAGAATATCATGTCCGCATCTTGTACAGCAATGAACTGCTAGGAAGAATGTATGCAATGTGTTAATTATTGAAACTGTCCTACCATTTTGGTTTGAAACTGTCTCATTGCCATTTGTTTCTCAATAAAATTATGGGAAAAACAAATAAAGTATTGATATGTTAAACTTCAAATCCCTACCGAACATGAAGAAAAAAAGAAAAATTAAAAAATATTTTAATAAATACGAGTAAACACATATTTTTATACAAAAATTTAGAAATCTAACCATGTACAGCATTGTAGGACAGTCCTATGACATCTTTTTTCTTGACTCTTGTTTTCATTTATTACTGCTTTTATTTTTAAACATTTACTTGAGAGACAGTATGACAATAATTGGCATGACATGACAAGCAGTATGTATTTAGAAGACCAGAATGACAGGCATTCCAAGCATGACCCTAGTAATAACACATTGCTATGAGGGGATTTGACTGACCTTGTCAGATACAAAAGTTACATTTTTTGTTATTTAGGTCTTGCTTTATCTTGGTCTTAACCATCCAGCAGAAAAGTATAAAACCAAGGTATAAAAAGTAAAGCCATATTAATCTGCTGAGCTGTAAAAGGCTCAAGTCAACAACTTCTGACACTGCCAGTCTTGCAGATAACCCACTACTATTATTGACTACTGGACTATATTGGACTACTCTGCTGAATTCATGCACATACAATATATGAATTAATTATTGTAACTATACTACTAACCTGTTTTGAAACTATCTCATTGCTACTTCTTTCTCAATAAAATTATTAAAATATAAAAAAAGATTTACATGCTTTAAAGTGCATGCAAAATTGTAGAAATAATATAA